TTTTTTTTTTTTTATTTTTTTCAGGCAGAAAGTAGTGCTGGTTTTTTACGCGCAGCTCGTGCTGGTAATTTGAATAGAGTACTTGATTTATTACGTTCCGGAACAGATATAAATACTTGTAATGCAAATGGTCTTAATGCGTTACATTTGGCTTCAAAAGAGGGACATCATGAAGTTGTTCGTGAATTGTTAAAACGTAAAGCATTGGTTGATGCAGCAACAAAGGTTTGAAAATTAAGTTATTTTATCTTTAAATTGTTCTTTTTTTTTTCTTTTTGTTCCTTCTTGTTACAGTTTTTATTGTTGTTTTTAACAGAGGATGGAAGGAATTTTCAATTGTTATAAGATTAACGAAGATTAAAAAAACAAAAAAAAAATTTTTTTTCTAAATTTTATAGTGGATTTTAATAGTTGAGAGTGCAGTTCACTTTTCGTTCGTTTTTTTTTTTTCCTCTCATCATATTCAGAGGATCAGTGCCATTTTGGTTGAATTAAACAGGCGAAAAGTGGGCTTGTCGCGATGATAAACGTCACTGAGAATGGAGTAGAGAGAAGGGAAGTTATGGAAAGCTTTGGCGTCATTTTTTACTTTTTGGATAAATGTTCTCCATTAAGCAAACAATTTTAAATCATTTTTTCTCTTTTTCTTCATAAATATGAGTATTTTTTTCAAAGTTGATATTTGTCTAGCAACTTTTACGCTGATTATATCGGATTTTTTTTTCTTTTTGCTGATGTTTTTTTTCTAATGGACAAGTTAATAACTGAGTTATTATAGAGAAAGGAGCTGAAATTTTTTCTTGTTTGTTTGTTGTTAGAGGGTTATTTGGATGGAGGCCTTTTTTTGTTCTTTGTTGAAGCTTTTTTTTTTTTTTTTGTTTTTTATTCCTCTTATTGTTGTCATTGTACTGCAAAAGAGGCTTTTGGAAGGCTTAAAATTTTGTGGATTTTTCTATTCTTCCAATTTTTTTGCTTTGCTATTTAAAAATTGGCGGATGAATTGGTTGGAAGAAGTGTATTCAGTTTTTTTTGCCAGTGTGTTAGATGATCAATTTTTAGGCTCATATTTCTGCAAACAATTACTTGATGGGATTCAATTTACTAAATTTTAGATATATATTTAACGCTGTTTATTATTACGGACATTATCATGCCAAATTTGGGCGCCTAGAGTAGAAAAAAGTTTTTTTTTAGTCTGTTATTTTTTGTCAATAGAATTCTAGAAGTTTTCCTTGTTTTCAGAAAGGAAATACAGCACTTCATATAGCATCTTTAGCCGGTCAGGAACTTATTGTTACGATATTAGTGGAAAACGGTGCAAATGTAAACGTTCAGTCGTTGAATGGCTTTACGCCACTATATATGGCAGCACAAGAGAATCATGAATCTGTTGTCCGTTATTTGTTGGCACACGGAGCAAATCAAGCATTGGCAACAGATGTAAGCAT